GTTCCCGCTGTAGATAATTTCAAATCGAACTATTTCGAAGATCGGAGAAAAATCTTGGCAAAACCGATACAATTTATCAATGTGATGCTGGAAAGAAATAGTGAACAGCAGATTTGCAACGCAACTATACATTATTCATACCAAGATAAGTAGACAGCCGAGATTGTGCACAATAAAAACTCTGGCATGAATACGTGTGATTCAGTCAATCGAAATTGCATCCTGCGAAAAGCAGAAAATAAGATTTCTAAAATTGTTGTTGATGTAATGCATACTTCTTAAGATTTTCAATAACAATTCACATTGAAGAAAGCGTCATTATTTTCCTATCTCCTCTTGGAAAAGTTGTGTGATTACATACGTGCGCGTAAGCACGTATGAAAGAGTCACGTGCAACTGGTTTTTGTAATACTGACATTTCTACAGATAACTTTTTCCTAGAAAATCACTTTTATAAAACAAAGAAATGGAAGGGGAAACAGCACCTCCAAATGCGACGCAACCTCTAGAGTTGTCAAATTGCATCATTACCTTTATTCATTTAATGTCTGCACGAAATGACGCACCAAAAATTATTTATTCTTCAAAATTATACAACTATGACATATTATTTTATATCAAAATAATTTATTTACATACTATGAATATATGATACATGATTTTGGACATAATTTCATTTGAGCAATATGACATATTTATTTTATAATCAAAATAATTACCTGTAAAGCTGGGATAGTCAAGATTCATAAAATCTATTTGATGCTTGTTAACGGCGTTGGAGTCAAAATGCGTCTCGCCAGCCCGCTATTTTAACGACTTTTTTTAAAATTCAAGTCGTAGGCTTTCCGCGGGCAGTGTCCATGTGCATGGATCTTGTTGTCCGGGTGACGCCGCGTCAAGAGCTGTTGTTTGCCGACGTTTCGAACATCTTGTCGTGCTTTTCAGGTCTGTGTGTCATGTGGCATACACCCGTACAGTCAGATCAATGTACTTGATTTAAATTTTTTCGAAAGTTACGAAAACATTTTTTAAAATTAAGCTTCGGCCATTTTATCGGGAAAAGGAGATTCACCAGTTAACTCATTAGAAGCAGATTAACAACGGTTTTGGAGAATCAAAATCGAGTTGTAAGATAAAAGAGGCTGTGGCGTATACTCGCGTCCATTCTTTCCTGATTGAACGGAGATCTTAGAGAAAGGTGGATGTTTAACAGAAACTTAGAAGAAATTATCTAAAATTAAGATGTGAGGAGATGGAATATGGTTAATATTTACATAAATTAGTTTATTTTTTTTAAAAATAGTTCCAATCGGAATCGATATTTTGAGTATTGCCTCAAACAATTTTTAAGATGTAATTTTCGAAGGAAGACAAAATATGTGAAAAATATAGGTTTGTACAATATTACAGACCGTTTACCTCACGTCAGTAATAGTAAGTATAGCATCTCTAATTTGTATTGTGAAAATAGACTGATGATGCATAAGAGACGAAGCCCGAAACCGACTGTTCTGGTTTGCGTTCCGCGCAAGTCCGCCTCCTTCCGCCGGGCTGGCGCACGCCGCTGGCTTGGTCGTGCCCGCCGCTGACAGAGGGCCACAACAATCGGGTTTGGGTGACGCAACGGTGAAGAAGGGGAGGGGGCGAGTGTTTTCCGTAAATTCCATCACTTTTAACGACGCTCCTATTCGTCCGATAGCATGGTCACGCGCGTTGGATACAGGAAGCCATGTCGCCATCGCGCTATAAGCCCACATTTTTAAATTTTTTTCTCGAAGTTTGAGACTAATTTCAAAATTCGAGATTTTGCAAGATTTTTGTTAAACAGGGGTTCGTAGCGTAAATCTTATTCTTAAAAAGGCGTACAATGCCGTTAAGCGTCGAAATGCGACATTGGTTCAGACGTTATCGCGTAAGTAAATTTCCCTGTGATAGTGCTGCGATCTATTGAATTTTCCTACAATTATTTTTAGGTGCATTTAGCCTTAATATAAACATATATGTACGTTTTTTTTAGTAAATTAAAACATTAAAAATTATCCCAATATGTTTCACCGCGTTATGGCCTGATACCACACATATTTCCATCCCCATTTTCAGAACAGCCAGTCAAACTGTCGAGGTCAACAAGACAAGGTCACGTGTGAATCGCCCGAGTAAAGAAAAATGGCTCGCAACCATATTAAAGATTATAGTTGTGTCCCTTAAGGCCTTGGAAATTGGACACCCCTAGTGTATACGTTCATGCACATACGTACTCACATGCACCGTATATGTGTATACATTCATATGTACAGATATGCACACACGAATGTACGGTGACGAAAGGAATGTAGGATGATGGTGTTTCTACAGGTGTTATTAAGAATGATTGCTAGATTAAAAAAAACAACAAAAAAACGTTGCGCCTCCAAGCCCCGTGAGGGGCGTTGTGCGCTTGGGAGTAAACCTCCATTAATAGTAACGGTCATAAGTCACGTCTCGTCGCTGTCTGTTGTCAAGGGCCCCGCCAGGTAGCATCTTCGCGTACTCGTCTCCTACCACGCGCTCCTGCGTCACTTACCCAGTGGTCAGAATTAGGATAGGGGTATGGTTTACAGGGGATTGGACTAGCTCTTGTGAAGCAGCCAAACTCGTTATTGGAACAAATTTCACACGAGATTGTCCGGGAATTGAACCCCAGACCTGCTTGAAGGCGAGCGACTTCGCTCTGATCCATGAGATGACACTAGATGACCAGATTAAGAAAGTGTGCAAAAAGCTAAATTATCGAGTAGACTAATTATTTAGTATAAGGGTAAATGTAAGAGCTGGGGTACTTTAACGTACAACTGAGATTAATCTATTTATTAGAGTTAAATAAACAATAGTAAAATGAGTTAAAATTAGATGAGAGTTAATTTATATACAATGAAACTAAAGAAACAAGGGAATCGAAACGATTTGCAATGCTTTTAGTGATCCGAGAATGAGAAATAAGAGGAGGGGGGGGGGAATGAGATGGAAGTATTTATCTGAAAGGTGGCGTAGAACGTTATATCATAGGTAGTATTGAAGAAAATAAATATGAGATTCGTTAGTGCTGAAAAATATGTCCACCTAAACCTGTGCAACGTATTCTGGTACTGTGGATGACATTCACGGGCCGGAACGTCGTCGGAGACGATCTCCATACTGACTACTTGCGACATTGTTGACGATGGTCCTACACAGCCATAAGAGATGCGTGGCCTGCAGTCATGAACTACCACCGCAGATACGAAGGAAGTTGAATGGTGCTCATGCTTGTGTGTTTACATCATGCTAAGCTCTTGTCGAATATGAGGCCACGAAAAGTTTCAGATTCTATAAAAGGATGTTGATGGCCCACACGAAGATCTGGGTGTTCATGAGAAAATGGCTCCTGCAGAAATGCATGTAGCTGCAGAAGTTGAATAAAGTTTTATTGCTCCATTCATGCAAGTTGTTAAGCGCATGTTGCAATTGCATTTCGATAACACGAATGTTCGTGGAAGTGCAAAAATGACAACGAAGTGCGATGCTTGCACAAACTCTTGAATAACTGATGCCATGACAATGAGTGACAATCAGAATAGCGTTTTCCAACTGATTGATTGAAAAGAACTCTTCATCGAAGGGAAAAAAGGAAATATTCGAAGAACAGAGGGTGACGCTTCCTTTGGCCACCAGGACTGTAAGTTATGAAAAATCTGTATCTTCAGGCAGTGTCGCAAGCTTTCTCGAACATGGCAACTAGGTGATGTAGCAAGAAGTGAAGGTCTGTACATTTAGGCTGACTAAGTAGTTGACCGAAGTTCTGAAAACAGTGGAACGATAGGCAAGTTCCACGCGTCACACCACACGAACGTTTACCATCTGCTCTACCAGCCTACAGGCGCACATAGTGAGCGAGATTGGGCAGTAAGTTGGTGTTCTATCCTTTTGTTTCTTAGAAATTGATTCACATCCAAGAATGTTATAAAGCTCAATAAACTCAGATTGAAGACACAAAGGAGGAAGTTTCTTGACTTTTGTAGAGTAGATTTGCTTCAGCATTCTATCGGTTGCGTTTCTGGTCAGATCCAGGGGCAGAATCTTCAGAAAGAGTGAGGGCAGAGGACAATTTCTCCATGGAGAAAATAGCACTGTAATCTCCCCATTCAGTCTAAAGTATAAGCACAGTTTTCTGATATCTCCTTTTTATTAAAAAGCTCAAGGTATAGTATGAAGAACTGGAGATCTTGTAGTGAGGGGCCAGTTTCTCAACTAAATCCTCTGCTGAGGATAGATATCCATTATTCCTACTATATTATTATTATACCAGCAACCCTGTGAAAGGCAGAGAGAAAAGTCTTCTGATTAGTTACACTTCTGCCATATTCCTTTGGAAGGTATGGCAAGGAAGTGAGGAAATGTAGGCCCTCCCAGAGATGTCTTGCTTTTAACAAAAATAGCTCTGGTCCTTGTTGTTTTATTCTTCTTGCCAGTGTTTTCCAGCTCTTGTGGCAGTCTCTTACATCCCTAACTCTACACTCTTCTTCCATTCAAGCCATTATCTTCTAGACCTCTTTGCATATCATTAAAATCTCTGAATCTACCACTTTGTCTAATGGAAACCACTCAAAAAGCCAATCTGGGCCATCTCATATAATCACGCTTTTTCATGAGACTAAACCATTTCAGCCTTCATGTTTCTGTGGAAAAAGAAATCGGAGCCTTTTTTGGAGATTTTTTAATATATTGCAATTACAAAGCAGAAATTGCATGAAAACTGCTCTTTAAAAAAAATGTACATGAACATTTTGAAAGATCTAATTTTTCAGAACAGAGTTTGTTTCAGAAAAAAACATAATCAATATTCTTTTGCAATGTTATTTTTTTGTTGTTGCAATTTTCGAAAATACCCAGTTTGGCAAATACGGGAACAAAACCACATTTTGACCGTCCTTTGCGACACACTGGGAAAATATTTAAAGGAAAAAAATTGGAGCAGTTTTTGAGAAAATATTATTTTAAAAATCGCCATATTACACAAAACCTACTCATATTTTTGACAACAGATTTCATTAAGGAAAAATATTTTCATCACAATTGTAGCTGGGAGGAAGACAGCAAACTAATTTTGAACTTTTGCATCTTTCCAAACTTCATATTTCAAGAAAACAAGACTTGTACCATTTTTTAAGCATCCTTTACACTATTCAAAGGCAAAGTTTAATCCAAAAATTTGAATTATCTAGGCTATCCGTGATGAACTGCTTCTGTTGCCGTGACTGAGGTTTCGGCCATTCTGTACGCACTGAGAAAGACCACATGTTGACCAAAACATCATGCACCACGACAGAGACACAGCTAAGCCGGATCATCACACAATACAAATTCTGGTGGTGGAAGTCTACACAATCGTATCCAAAAATTTGAAGTAATTTTTTAGAAAATTTTAAAAATGAAGAGAAAGTTTCCTATTGAACAGAAAATTCACAATTACTTGAATCCACTGAATCACATGAACATTATCAAATCTCAATGCATACCATGAGGTCAGAATCAACAGATAAAAAAGAATAATGGTTTATTACATAGCATCATTTATCTGAGTTCTTTCCAGCAAATATTCATGTAATTTTGTACAATACATATTATTTATACTACAAATTTCTTGCATATAAAATAAAGATTAGTCGATAAACATTAAATGTTTAAGAACAAAGAATAATATAAGAAAAAAATATGGGTGACAAAAAACGTTTTTTTTAAAATGGAATTCCAATAGAGGATGGAAAATACAAACAAACAAATTCTTGAAAAATATTTGGATTTCTTGTTGAATGTCAGTAATGAAATTAAATGAAAATTGAAATATGAATACATTTTAGAATACTGAATTATTTATTCTATTTTCTTATATCCTTGACCTGTAAGTTCATGCAATAAGTAATATATCTACAAAAGATCTTGGATATGATTTAATCTAAGATTTTCTTCATTAGCCATCTCAAGTTCACATGAACACATTGTTTGTTTGTTTTTCACTTAATTTTTTCTTTGACTTGAATCTCCATCATGGAGAGAAAGCCACAAAGTAATCCTTAATAATAATATTTATTCACAGTGATACATATTCATTCATTCACACTATCTCGTACTTGTCTGTAAAGAAAATTGCGTCTGCTGTATACTTGACTGGTGTATCATCATCTACAAGAAGAACTTCGGTGATCTGAAAAAAGGACAAAAAGGCATTTCAATACAACTCTCCACTGTTAATATACAAATATTCAATCACTTTTCTTTTTTAGAAAAAATGAAATTATAGAATTTGTGGTACAAACAGATCTAACATTGATGACACAACCCAATAATGCCATACAATAATGTTGCCGTTCTCAAGCACAGACGGTTGCATTGTTTCCATGAATAAAAATTTGTCAAAATTATGTAGCCAAATTCAGGGTTACATTTTCTGACCCTTCCCCTCCATGTGTTTTCTTGGATCCTCACACAAGCACCCAACCACACATACCCTTTTTTATGTACTCATATATATATTTTTAAGTTTCCTTTAATAAACCAATGCCATAGTCAACACCCACAAACAAAACAGGAGTGGATCTAGAAAGGAGTCATCTATAACTTACACAACTCTAAAGGAGAGGGGGATATGAGGCAGCATTACAAAGGGAAAGGGATGAGAGTTTAGTGTTACATAACACCATCCCCTGCACCTGATATTTACAGAAATAGTTCCTTTAATGTTGTATGATTTAAGAATTTTTTTTATTTATTTATTTACTTACATGGTAGCAGCACAGCCGATAATACATATAAGCATTTCTCTTGAATACATAAAAATTATTGTATAAAACATTGTAAGATATGTTATAACAAAACTATCTCTATAATATGTTTACATTTGCATAAAATCTTGTATAACACAGTTTTTTTCTGACTTGTGTAATATCACAGATTGTATCTGGCCTTGTCCAGCTGAATTTTGACAGATGCAACATTTTGCAACATTTCTTGCTTCCACAAAGGCCCCTCGTAGTTTGTTCCAAGCATTCACTACTTTGTGATGAAATAGGATCGGTGGTTGGTTCGGACCCCCTCCTTCTACAACTTCTTTGAATGATTTCTCAGCCTGTTATAGATGATCTCATGAAGAAAAAATGAAAAATGTCTGCATGGTATGTATCATTAAGTATCTGTAAATTATGATCAGACCACTTCTCCTCCAGGCTGAGCAGCTACAACTGTCTGCACTTATACTGATACTGCCCTAGTCCTTTCAAATTTTGAACACACACTGTGGTTTTTCAAGAAGTTTGATATTTTTGTTTAGGGAGCAAGATTAGATTGCCTTAGTATTAGTCTCATGTAGGCAGAGGGACACTGCTTTTTGATTGTCTCACGTGCGATCACAACTGCTAACCCAGGAGGCAGACGAGTACTCTTTGTGACACTGCGAGTGCATTGCCCGAGATGTCTGGGTACCGGCACGGTACAACGTCTAGTGGAGGATGTTAGGACTAGCCAGGCGATGGGGAGAAGAGTGTGTGGAAGTAACAGAGGTAGATAGCCAACATAACTCTAGAGGTGTACACAGTTGTAAAAATCTTGTAAATAGATTGTGAATAGAGCTCGGGTGTCTTCATTGTGCTACCACGATGCAAAACTATCTCGGGATCAGCAAAACTCTCTACTTCCCTTGCAATATATCATTATCACTCCACCCCTTTTTTGTACATGATCTCTTCAGTAGTCAGAGTAATCTGCAATCTTTACAAAGGAGTCGGAAATATTTTTATATCACAAGATTCCATGAAAATCTAAGTGTCCAGATTGATTGGTTGTACTTAAAAAACAACAACATTGTGTTTAGCCATTACAAACGAAATATTTGTACACATAATGTTGACATTTATGGTTGAATATCATCTCGCTGCTACCTCTATTTGTCTCCCTGCTATTTAGTAACAATTTTTGGAACACCTCAGATGCACTTAATTATGTTCAGGTCTGTGATCAGCTTTCCCTTCAGCTCATATCAGATTTCCATAAGTTCTTGCCCTTGAGTCTTGATCATATCGTTCTTCAGTAATTCTGGTGGTAAGCTTCTTCCATTGAGGAAAATCTTCTTGGCTTATAGTTTGCTGAGAAGTGTCATCTTCAATGGTCTGGGGTGTCCAGTTTTTGCATTTCTTTTATCAAGCCTTCCCGTTTCCTGGATACAGCCTTCTAAGTATAGATTCAAATCTTTCAAAGTAGATTTAATTGTGTTGAGGTCATGAAGCTCACTAACTGCAGTGTTACCTTCTCCCTGTTCGTTGATTTTCAACATATTAATGTGTATATGTGTGTGGTTACCCCACCCCCATTACCTCTTGCCTCAAGTCCTTCTCACATTTTTCTTATATTTAAATATAGAGACTGCACAAGGTTGTGAGCTGGAAGGAGAGGAACACTGTAATCCAATTGGGTGCTTCAATACCAAAAATTTTTAGTCATAACAAAGGTCCAGATTCGATAACAGTGTCACAGTTGATATGTATCAAGTCACTATATTTAAATCAAACAATACCTATATAGTACTCTAATTTGGAGATTAGGTGTCGGTAAAATGGAAAATATCCAAGTAGCTTACCAGACATGAAAGCAAACCGCTAATGATTTCGCATTTAGTTTGACATACCTGTCACCAAATGTCAAAGTCAAACACATGCCACATTCTCAAGGAGCCAAAAATTCTGGTCACTTATGAGAGGAGAGAGACTCCCATTCATTCTTCATCCTCGATGGCATCTGCCTGCATTGTTGGCAACATTTTTCTCACTTTTGCATCCTTCTGTCCTTCAAAAATCCTCCCTCTCTTTTTATTGTTCAGTGCAGGCATCATTGCTGAGAAGTAATTCTGAACCGAAAACTTTTTTGTATTAGTTTTGGTAATAGTTAGAGATCACTACGACTTCTCAGAATTCCATAGTATACAGAATACCACTTAATGGTATTCCCTGGGAGTCATTATCAGTTTTCGAGATATTGCATTTTTCATGGTAAAGTTGCGGATGGCATTAAATCATATTCGTACCTTCTCCCACTCTCTTCTTTATTCACTCAGCATGACACAAAACAAAATTCAAATGGTTTGGAAAAATGGAAATTATAAATGGAATAAATGGAAATTGTTGGTTCACTTCACAATGTATTTTTACTTATTATAATTTGATAGACTAGAGTGGTAACACAAACAATATGTAATGGGAAGGGGGGAGGGGGGGGAGTAGGAACAAAGTATGTATTACAAGTGCATTACAGAGGAGAGGGAATACAAAATATTCCAAAGTTGTTTTACACAATTTATGAACAACCCCAAAAAAATCATACAAGTGGAAAATACCACATATAGGGAATTTAAATTACACAATAAGTACTGTAATTACAGATTAATAAAATGAGTTCTTAATTTCAAAACCTATATTCTAGTGAAACAGAGAACCCACAAAAACTAAAAAGTAGAACGTCAGAAAAAATTCACACATGGGTTGCTTGAGTGAGAAGAGACCAAGTATTTTCTAAAGAGAATTAAAATATTTGGAAAGAGGCATTTGTAAACAGAGGTGATACTTTATTAACGAGATGCAAAAAGAACAATGCAACAGTATTAATAATTATTATAAAACACACAAAATAATCGTCTAACTAATGGTTATAAATTAAAACAAATTCAGATATTCACAAATTCAAATGACACATGAAGTTGTAACGATTCTTATTTTAGAAAGTAATATAGTAAGTTGATATAGCACGTTATAAAGTAATATAGTAAGTTTATGGCAATTTAAAGCTGTCACCATTGTAGGTGCCTTAAAGCTAACACAAACATGACTTTTCTAGAATTTTTCAAGAACATTTTACAAAGGTCAGGTTAAAAATAGTGCACATCACTTCATCTTTTTGAAATGAATCACGTGAGCTATTAATGCCTTAAATCTTCCTTTAAACACTTTGTTATTAAAGTGTGAATTTCTTGAAGACCAAAGTTGTTTAGATAGTTAACATACATACCTTAAGATCAGCATACGAACGTTTTGACACAAAATATACTTGAACAGGGAAAAAGTCTCCAGGTAGTGCAGTAGCACTGAACTCAAGTGAACCAGATTTGTTTGAATAATCAATAATAGGCAATGTCCACATCAATACATTTTTGCGAGAATCATGATTGTATTCACCATCACACTCATTTACAATTGGAGTGGTGCCCATTCTATGAAAAGGAATGTCATAATTACAAGTTGTAGGTTATTTCTATATCAATTTTCAATCTAAACCAATATCCTACTACTTACGGCAATGGTATAGTGATGCACACATCATTTAGTTCCATATCTTCATGTTCCAATTCGTATTCTATATTGACATCACATCCCCCTTGTCCATTCTCGGAAGGCCAGCAATTGACTGAAAAATTATATTACTGATGGTCATAGATGCAATGATTTAATATTTGCAACATTATCTTAAGAGATGAGCATTCCCACCATGGATCAGCAAGTGTGTAGTATTGCATAGCATGTAAAAGTCTCAACAAGTCTTAGTTCAAATAGGGAACTGAATATTTGGTAAATATAGCTACATGGATAGTGCTACCTAAGTACCAGAAGCATGGTTTGTCAATCACAAAATATAACTAAGGGGTGTTTCAGAATTACACAAGCTTTAATTTGCCAAGGCAATAAAAACATGTATGGATGAATGCTTGCAAGGCCCCCCATTTGTGAATGGTAAATGTTCTGTGTTTTAATTTAATTTTATTGTGTGCCCCAACTCATTTTCAAAGCATTAAATCTCAATTACCTATTCATAATGATATTTGTATACCTATTGCAAAATAAATGTCCGTTATTTATGTGACCATTGTAGGTTCATAATATTAGGAGGAAATTAGCACTGCAGACCTTCATTACCCACTGCTGATTCGCATTAAAAAAACTATTGGTGCTACAGATTAGAACAGAATTTACAACACTAGATAGTTTACTAATCTCTTTAATTTGCGTTATTCAGTTCCCACCCCCCTCTACTTAGTGCCAAAAATACACTTTTTTTCACATTTTCTCAATTTTTTGGTCCCCTAATATTAGGATTGAAATATGAAATTTTTTGTATCATTACATAACTCTCTCTATTCTATGCATATTATTCCATACACATGTATGTAAATGAGAAAGTAACTAGTCAAATCACTAAAAATATGTTAAATATAATCAAATAAAGGCATATTGAAGTTTAACAAATATGAGAAAATAACAATAAGAAAAAAGTAAAGAAAAGAGAGAAGAGAACATGCATCCTGCAGAATGATCCACTAGGCTTATTGATGTCACCAATGTGTTAAGAAAAATTAAATTAATGTCATTAACATACTTGATAGTGGTATGCAGCTTTCATCTTGAGTCTGGAATCTCCATTTCAATACTCCAACATCAGTATGCAAAGGAAAAGGTTTGCTGGGATTTTTCAAGCCCACTTGGCCTTTGCTCTTGAATAATTCCTTGTCTACATTAGGATGTGTCTAATAAAACACATGCCCATACATTATTTTCCTTTAGTAGTATAGTAGTAGTAGTATAGTAGTAGTAGTAGTAGTAGTAGTAGTAGTAGTAGTAGTAGTAGAAGTAGTAGTAGTAGTAGTAGTAGTAGTAGTAGTAGAAGTAATAATAATAATAATAATAATAATAATAATAATAATAATAATAATAATAATAGAAATAACAGCAACAATAAATTATAACATCATTCACTTTTGAAAATTCAAGAAGTCTGGGTGTGTCTTTACACCCAAGTGTCTATTGAACAGCAGCACAAATGAACCCTTGATTGGATATAATTTTTATTTCCTTCACTGCCACTTATTACTTTCTCGCTACTGCTTACACAGTAGTGAGAAAGTTATATTAAGTTGCACAAAAACAAAAAACCTGAAATTTTCAATTAGAAACTAACTATTTTGAAAAACATTCATTAATTTTTGGGGGTACTTTACATGAAACCCTAGGGACATTTTCAAAATTTTCTCAAAACTGGCACCACATTTTTTCTTTAAATTTCTTGTAAGAATAGAGTACAATACGCTTATACAGGTGGCATAGGTGTGATTTTCAGTGTTATCTCTAAATTTTCAATAATTGCAAAGTTTGAATTTTTTTTGGTATTGAAATTGAAGATAGAAATTTTTTCTTTAAATTAAATTAGTTGTCCATAATCAGTTCTTTCATTAAGATCTTGTACATTTTTTTGAAAATTTACGAAGTTTTTGCGCAATATTGAAAACCAGGACTCTCTCAAAAGCGGTTCCACATTTTTTCTTTAAACTTTCGTTAGGGATCGTGCTAAAAGAGATGACATAAATGCCATATTGCTCCATTCTTTTGTTTTTTCAAATAAAATACGAAGATTAAACTTTTTTGACTTGTTTCAACAACAATATTTGCATTAGCGGTGTTTTGGTCACATGATTGCATTTGCAATCAATAATAAATGTGCTTTAAATGATGTCATGAAGTTTTTCTAAAACTCTAAAGTTTTCTGTGAAAATGAGCACAAAATTCTACATTTTCAGAAATGTTCGAAAACCATTTTCTCAAAAACAGCTCCAAATTTTTTTCTTGAACCTTTTTGTGTGGATAATGCTTAAGATGACATGAAATCAATTTTGCTAAATTCTTTTGTTTTTAAAAATTACACAAAATGTAATTTTTTTTTAAATATCTCTCACGCTTTTAATATGAACATTTCCAATGATTTGAATGCATTATTGCATTTGTTAGCGGAAGAGCTTCAAATGACTTTCAATGAAGTTTTTCAAAAACTCAAAAGCTTTCGGAAAAAAAGATTTTTCAAATTTCTCATTTACAGTAACTCTTAAATGGCATTTTCTTAAAAAGACTCTTAAGTTTTCAACAAAAATGTCCTTATATGATGAGGTTTTACTCTTCTATAATATTCTGAAAGTAATATTTCGGTTCTACCATTAGGCAACCGAATAACTGAGAACATTTTCAGCACATTACGTAACATTATCTTCAAATTTTGAGATACACGTTAAAATTTAGCAATTGATATGCAGAATGAAAGATAAATATTAAAATACCTAAATTACTCATATTGAAAATTATTAAATATATCTTCCTTACAGTAATCATTCGAGTCAAAGGATTTAATTTATAAGTTTATATTGTTAACTGGTTTGATAATTAGTTCTGCATTGAAAAACATATACAGCAATCATGTTAATCTCTCAAATGTTATGCATGCAGTTGCTTTGTAAATTCAGTTGATCAGGGTAACATTGGTTCAATTGGTATTATACTACAAATCTCATTCTGATGAGTCTGGTAAAAAGAAATATAACAGAAGATGATTTCGAAAATAATTTGTATTGTTTCAATAAAATTATAAAGCGGCGAATGTATAAATTTAATTAATTTCATTTTCTGTAATTTAATATTGATGACACTTTTTATAATCACATTCTAAATTTTTTTTCTTTTTCTGTCTATTTCACAGACAGGTCACGCTATTATTAAAATATTTGACTGTTGTTTGATGGAATAAATAAAAAAATTAGAAAATAATACACAACATTATTAAATCTGTAGATGCATGCCATAGAGGCCCAACACGTTATTTATTGTTCTGTTTACAGGTTTCGGTTAACATATTTTGCACTCAAAGGTTGGTGCTTTTTTCCTTCATCATTACAATACTGTCTATGTATGGGGTACACAGACAAAAAGTAAAATTATAACTTTAAATTTAGTTATAAAAATTAAATTTTTAATGGCCTACACTTTTACCACCATTTTATAACTGATCAATGTGAAATTACTTAATATTTAAGAAAATATTTATACCTGAAGCTGAATACCACGGGCATCCTTGTTTTCAAGCTGCACACGAATGCGTCCCCACTTCTCGTCTGAGATACGCAATGTCACCAATCCATGCAATTCCATGCTTTGTAGTCCACCATCACGTCCCACGCGTAATAATAATCTTTCTTCCAAACGTAAGTGGATTCTACATGAAAGAAGAACAATTTTCCACAAGCTACAATCAATTATTACAAAATCGCTACTTTCATAATGCTACATTCACTAAAATCAGTTTTACCCTGTAAAATGATTTTAAACTATTAAAGGACTACACTTACCCTACAATTAATTTATCTATCAAATAAATTTTCACTTTCAAAAACCACTTTACAAAATACCCTACATTCAAGGATGTGTCAAAAAAATAACAAACAAACAAACATTGAGATATGCACGTCTAAACAAACTTAACACAAAGCAATAAAAAAAATCCTAATTGAGTAAGTATTAATAGTCTTCACAAGTAAAGTAATAATACTTGCATTTTTTCCGAGAAAGCTAGAAAATTTTCGCCATTATTTCATTTAAATTCAGTAATATAGTAATTTCCAAAAAACTTGAATTGAATGTTAATTCTGCGAATAATAATATTGAATAAAAGAAATAATTACTATTGGCTTAAATCAACAAAGCTTGAAAAAAGCTTAAAAAAATAAGATGATAAATCCTAAAACATTATTTCAAACAAAACATTAAGATGTCAAGGACATTTCTAATGCCTTTCAATTTAGAAATAAGACATAAAAGTATGTAACAGAAAAGGACTACACTTACCCTTCAGTAGGTTCTGAACTGGTAGGAGCTTTTGCAGATATTGTTGGTTTCATTGTTGGAGCAGTTACCTTCTCACCTTCTGACTTCAGCTGGTCCACAAAACTTTCCACATCACGGGACTTGCTTCCTAGTTTCATTGCTTTTGTTGATGTAGTTGGTTTCCTACATGTCAGAAGTTCTGTATCAAGCAAAAATAAAATCTAATGTATTGTAATAACAGCATGAAAATGATATTTCACACATACTGAATAGAAGAAAAGTTTGTCTTGGTAAATTCTGCAACTATTGAGGCAGAATCTCCCACAACAGGGGCTGGAGAATAGCCTGCATTGCTTCCAAATCCACTGCTGCCAAACGCTGGACCTTTCATCCCCTTCTTGGCAATTTCCATCCTTTGCCGTTGCAACTCTTTTGCCTTCTCACGCATCTTATTTTTAGCTTCACGTTCCTGAGTCTAAAGGAAGAAAACAAGCAAAGTGGAAGAAGTAAATACTGTCCCAATATTAACCATACATTTTCAAATTTCAATTATTAACCACTCACTTGTCGCACAGCTTGATATACTTTCTCTTCATGTGAATCCATCTCAACAAAGGTGCGTATCTGAGCCAAATTTACACTCTCACGATACCCAAGAGCAACAATTTCATCAAAGGCAAATATGAGGTTAAATGCATTATCTGCTATTTCTGATTCTTCCATACTGCGACAATACTCAGGAATCTAATAACAGACATTTAATTTTTTAATATCACCTTCTACGCCCAATTATATACTCAGACCCATACACTATTTAAAGAATGAAACATTTATGTAAAGATCTAAATAGTAATTTTTTCTACCAAAAACTTAAATCAATTCACATAATAATTAAAATTCATTGGATCATGGAAAGCATAGACATTTTAATGATTTCTTTTATTTTCAAATCAAAAATACAAAAGAATAAAGGCTTTACCTGCAAATACTGTTGCAATAAAATTGAACTTTCAAATTAAAAAAAAGTTGCTAGAAAGAAAAAAAATATAGTTAACAGTCCCTAATCTGAATGCTATATCAAAACAAATCAAATGGAAATTTAATCTAAATTAATTTTGCTGTAATATTGTAAATTCATAATAAAAAAAGGATTCTTCATTAGAATTAGCTTTACGTAACTTGAACAAAACAGGTGTAAGAAAAATACTTTAAATTTAACGTTCAAGTACATGAACTAAAAAGTAAAAATGGAAGATCACCCCAGTATGTAAACCTATCAACTCACCACTCGAGAGAACAAACGCAGGGTCTCCAGATCTTCCAGGATGTTGCTTGCTTTTGTAGTAATCAGTAACATATACAGCTTTTCAAGAGGCTGGTAAACATATCTCACAGACTCTGTCTCTACAAATGTATGTTGCTTTCCAGTGGACATTAATTTTGGAAATGCTGATAATAATCCCTCTATACGAGCCTTTGTCATCTCAACAAATTGTCGTGATACTATTGCTATATAAATAAATACAGAAAGAAACTATTAAATGGGGCCTTTCTAGAAATCAACAACTTTCTTATAATAAAGGACTAATGGTGGGCTGAATGTATTCCCAAACATCGATTATCATGTCCATAATAATTAGAATAAAATCTTATTCACTTCTGCCATTCTTTAAAGATAACAAAAAATGAATTCAAGAAGAAAATTTCGTAATGTAACACTAAGAATAAAATCAAATGAATCTAGCCTTGCTAATAACAATTCAACATGTACACTAAATAAGATTTTAAAAACCGATATCAAAGCACCAAATGTGAACTTATATTAAAATATTCATCGCAATATTTAGATGAAAACTCGGTTTTTAATTTTAATAAAAATTGCTACTGGCCCTAGATTACAACTCACAATAATTTAATTCAATATAAACAAATATTAATAAGAAAACAAATAGTTGGACAATAAATAATATAGGAAGATACTTCTGAATAATTTTATGTATGTACATTACAAAAGGAATCATTGAAAGAATAAGAAAATTTTAATCAACAAGTCAATAAAGGTAAACTACTTACAAAAGATTGTATTACTAGAAAAAAAAAATACAAACTTAAATGAGAAACACAGATAAGAATCTTGTAAGTAGGATTGACGTGCAAAAAGTACACGTAAGTCACCGTCGTAAATACACACAATTCTTTGAAATACCAATTCAACACAAAAACAAAAATTAATAAAAAAAAAAAAGTAAAACTGTAAATGAACAAATGCCATGTGAGAACTTAGTGGTGAAGCTTTATAACATATAAAGTGAAGATATGACAATGACATCCTCAATCCAGTAAAAACAATACTGGGAGCGATGTCATTCAATTTCAATTACCAACAAAATGTCTTACTTACTTTTACCCGATTTTGTACATACAGCTGCTGCTATCAACACCTACAATAAGAGATAAATTCATTAAGTAAGAAACTGTCAATATGATTACATCACTAAATAATCAGCAAATAATAACTCATTATCATGGAGATCACAAATATAATTCATTTATTTTCAAAGAAAATCCTGCAACAACGACGAGCAATCACTCCATTGAATTGAAAATCCAAATGTCATCATTGCATTAAGAAAGAAGAATTTTAAAAAGGTTCATTAACCCAATAATTCTCAGCAATACTTCAGATTGTCTTAATTAGCAGTCACTGACACATGAGAAAACTAACTTCATTTCCTTACCATTTTACCCTTTTTGAAATTTGACGCGGTTCGTAATAAACTCTATCAATAGCTCAAAAAGGGCGTTAAATCGCATTACATGAGCACCGCACAAACTCTTCACTTTACTACTTCATACAAATTCCACCTGATGACGTGGGGAAAGAATCGTCACCATTCGACACCGCCTGCACCATACGTCCTGGTCCTATGCACGGTGTAAGAAATCTCTCATACATCGTGGTTAGTAAGAATCTGTTATTCGACCTGACCCGTTCTGAACGAGTCGATTCTACAATCACCATTGAAAGTAAATCTTCCGAATAGCAAAAACAGTGTGGTTTAAACGTAATACTTTAAAAATTCATATTCTAATGAAAATAATTTTTTGAACTTATTTCTTTTGAATTACTAAAATTAATTTCTTATATTTTTCAAATATTGAGTGCGCAAGTTTCCGCCACAAAATTTGTATTAATATGCAACTAAAATCAGCGCAACTTTTCTTGAACGATGGCCTCGCGAAAGGCGGGTTAAGTTAGCACACGATTTGATTATCCTCGTTGCAGAAGTAAACGGTTTATTTTGTAAGGAAATGTAATGTTTGGGCTTGGCTTTTACCAAAATAAAGTATTGAAGATCCACAAAATCTTAGTGACTAACACAAAATATGAAGCTGTATTTGTTCAACTCGTGCATGTAATGCATGTAAAGGACAACATATTATTTGTAAGCTAAATGTCCTTTTAATGGGTTTTGTTATTGACAAAATATGGAAAGTCTGCATACGTTTGCATGTGGCACATCCAAGAAAGGCGGGAAAATTTTTAGACGTTTGAGCTGTGATTTACGAAGATATGGTTCAGTGGCGGACGATGGGTTCAACACTTCGGGAGGCACAGACAAATTTAGGCACGGAATCATATTGTGAAATTGAAAGTCAATGACCTTTGGTTTGTCGGTAAACTGTTATTGGCGATATTTCAAAGTAAAGAATGAGATTTAATATTTCTCTTTTTTTAGAATAACTTCTCCGCGAAAACGGCATTCTCAATAAAGATTTTATTGTGTCCATTGAATTACTGAACCTGCCACACAACCATCAGCCACCATCATTGCAACCACAGAGCATCTTGTTAGTTTGTCTAAGGCACCCTCTGTGTATGACCGCAACACGCCTTCACAGAGGAAGGCCAGACGCGCCAGAACTTCCGTGGCAAATCAAGTCCAAAACTGGACAAAACGAAACTTCTCTTTTCTTATTGGTTGAAGGACGTTGTTATGGCAACAGCGAGGCGCGTCAGCTTGAGCCGCCGGTATTCTGCAGGTCTAGTACCTGTGTATAACGCATAGAAGTGCTTGGCTCCATCTTGAAAAGTAACGCTGTTTACAGCAAGAGAAATGACTTCTTTTACATGTTTACTCGCTAGCCGTAAACATTTATGTCAATTTTAGACAAGTAAATTTCACCAATTTTAAGCATATATATATATATATATATATATATATATATATATATATATATATATATATATACATATATAGATTAGTGTTAATCAATTTTGTGGGGAGGCATGGCCTTCCGTGTCTCTTCTGAAAAACAAAGTGCCACAAATTTGAACTTTGTGTCTTGCCGCAGAATGAAAGGACGTATCCTTCACTAAATCACATACGCAGATTGCGAAAATGAAATCAGAAATGTTCCATCACGTACCAATTTTTCTGGAAAAGCCACATGAACCACTTTAGAGAAAGTTGGAAATGTCTCAATATCACAGGAGGAATCTGTAGTGTATTAAGTTACAGATCATGTAACAAAAATTATTTGTATTGCAAGAATTGTTTATATTAAATTATTTGCATTATTAATTGTTTGCATTACAAAACATAGAATGGAAACAGTACGAGAAAGGTGAATAAAGCTTGAAATATACTTAAAAGTTATAAAGGTTTCCTGGAAACTTTCCGTTTGTGGTGATGGATGGTGATAATTCTTGTAAAAATGTCCAGCAGTAATTCGCCAAAAGGTTTGATGACCGTCTTTCCTTATATCGTCTTTCCATGGCCGCGATATCTTGGTGAAATTGTTTATCACGTTCGTCTCTCACATCTTCGAGATTAGGTGGGAAGAAACTCAAAGGGGAATGAAGGAAAAGTAATTCTAGGGACATGTTGCACCTCATACCCTTACAGTCCTTAACAGTCCAGCATGTGTTCAGTCAGTTCCCTGTAATTTTCAGACATTGTTTCCCAAGACATTGTCGCATACATCTTTCAATGCAAGCCAAGCTATCTTTTCAATATTCATTAGAAACTGTTCAAAGGTAATCTCTTTCATCAAGTCATGGATCTGAGACCCAATGAAAATTCTTTCATTCATTTTTTCAGTACTAATTGCAGGAAATTTAGATAGTAACAATTGAAAACTCTGGCCATCTTTGTCATACTGCCTTCGCCAAATTGGGGTTCATGGGGTTCACAAATTTGTTTTACCTAGATTGAAAATTTATCTCAAAGACCACTCTTGACATTATTGTTCTTTCGTTTCCCTTCTATCCCAGTGGCACATGAAATAACAATATTTTGTGTAAGCAATCCGCATTACTAAAAGTCCCAAACTCTGAGAAGACCACACATTTTTCATTTGTTATTCGCATAGCCCGTATACTTCAGGAGTAACCTCATGTTCTCGTAATTTCCTTTAACTGAACCGAAAGGTCCAATGGTATCAAAGGTTTCTCATTTCCAATTTGTAAGAGAATGGCTTTGAGACTACTAATTGAAGAATCTATAAATAGGCGCCATTCTTTCCGATTGTGAATCATCCAGAAGCTTTATGCAGCCCATTTATACCAAACTACACTGCGAATAATACTTCTGAAGAGTTAACAGCTGGGAGTAGGGGAGATCAATGTTGCCACTTACTCCGGCGGCAGATACGTACTAATAGTCGTTCTTGCATCAGATAGCTGTTGAGGCACGCACGTCCAACTGATTGTATTGTAGTAGGATTGTAATAATGACAATAGTTTATTTCATGAAGCACTATTACTTAAATTTGTCGCTGTCCCTTACACTAATTCCGCCAATAATAAGAATAACGAATAATTTTTGCATAATGAGCAAAGGAGATGAAAAGTACAGTGCGACGCGTTTTTAGATGTATATAGTACAATGAAAAATGTATAATATATAAGAATCTAAATTCGAGACATTCTTGGTTTGAGTACATACTTTTCGCAGAACGTTCACAATTACAAACAATTGCAGTAGTTACTGACTTTACCTGTAATTTACGTACTTTTCAAGAATGCGTCCTGATGAATGCATTAGAACAAAGACAAAAATAAAAGTGTCGTTTAAGGTGGATGTACATATTCATTGTTCATACGTATATCAGCCTTTAAGCATTATCACTGCACACGATGCATACAAAACACGTAATGGCGCATGGCGATCTTCAATTTTCAATTGATTCGCGCCATTAGATTTCATTTTTCCCCTTAGTAAACGTTGGCAACTCTGTAGTGACATCATCATAATTTGAAGCCTCTGAATGGTGAACATAATCCCCTCTCCTCTGTCAACCGGGAGCTGGCAAGTAGGCAGAAGTATTATTTGCAGTATGTGTCTTTTTTCCATTCCATTGATGGTTCTGGAACTGGGAAAGAATCAGAACGCGGAAAAGATTCAAAATTTGGATACGAAACTGTGTGTTTTGATTTACTTGATATTCCTGTTACTTTCGTTAAACCAAAGTAGCATTCTGTAATGTGGTCTCTAGGTTCCCTCCACAACTTCAGTGCGGCGTTGTTGCTGCCCTCACCAGAGGACTATGGTGTAAAGGTATGGGTGACCTATTGTGCATCGTATAATACACAGAGGAATTGCTGCATTCCTCCATGAATCGCATCTGACTTCAGCCAATGACCTTCAGGCACAAGTTTGAATCACTATATTAGTGCAGCCAGTTATCACAATTGTCAAATCAAAATCTACGGAAACTGCCATTATTTTCTTTTCGTAAAGATGTTGCTTCATAATTGGGCCAAAATGAAGTACCCATTATAATATTTTTAGATTTTTCGAAAGCTTTTGACGTTATTGACCATAACATCTTGCTATCAAAATTACCTTCTAGTGGAATTCGTGGTATCGCCCTAGATTTGATAACTTCGTACCTTAAAACATCGTTATAAAAGAGTAGAAATACCGTACTGGCACGAAAGGACATTATTTACTTATCGTTCCAATTCTTTTCCAATTGAATATGGGGTTCCGCAAGGCTCGATCTAGGTCCTATCCTCTTTCTGTTATACGTAAACGATATGCCGTTGTCTATTAAAAACGGAAAAACGATTTTGTTTGCCGATGACACGAACGTTCTTAGCAAAAAAGAAACAATAAATAGTACGATTTTATAAGTTTTCAATTGATTTTGTAATAACAAATTAATAGTTAATGAAGAAAATCAATTTCAATGCATTTTTGCTTTTCAAATCAGCAATTGCATGCTCCATTGAAAATGAATAATATGCAATTAGGTGATGTAACAAAATTTCAAGGTTTGTCAATTCAGTCAATCCTCAAATCGAATGTACAGATAACAAAATTAAAATTAAGTTCATTATGTTACGCATTCAGAATTCTATCAGCCTTCATGCAGCTCGTTGCGAGTATTTTGCAAATGTACATTCCCTGAGATATGGTATAAAATTCTGGGGAAACTCATGATGTAGTACTCAGACCTTTATATTACGAAGGAAAATTATTCGAATAATGAAAAAATGCCATCCGTGTTACCCTTGCAAGCCTCTCTTCATTGAACTTGGAATCTTTCCACTGCCTTGCTTATATATTTACAAATCTGTAATATTTGACAAAAGTGACTTATTTTAATGCAATACTGTTATTTATAATTACAACATACATCGTAAAAATCACATTCATCAAGTGTCAGTATCAACAGCTCACTGTCAAAAATCCACATACAATACATGTCCGTTTCTTTACAACACACTGCCAGATGACCTAAACAAGTAAAGTCGGTTCACAAATTTAAATTAAAAGTAAAAAAAATTCTGCTGCATAACTGTTTCTATACAATTAGAAACTATACTGATTATCAAAAAGAAAAATAATGTTTAATTTACCAAAACAGTGATAAATAATGAATTAGTTTACATTTGTATTGTATAATTTTTTTAAAGACTTAATATGTTTGTAACAAACAATGTACTTAAGCTTCCGGGTCAATGACTCCCTTCTCGATCAGGTTT